TTTTTTGGTTTTTCTCTGGTACCGGGAACCGAACTCACGACCTTGCGCTTGCCAGGCAGGCGCTTTGCCGCTGAGCTAAATCCCCAGCCGCAATTATTTCAGTTTCTAATGTGAAGTCAGTACCTATTTCAGAATGTTCTAATGATTAAATGAAAATGTGATAATGTACTTTGAAATAGTACCTAATGCATAGAAGAGATATTAAAAGAAATAAAATGGAAATAATCTTAAGAATTTATAAATTAGGCCCATGAGGCAGTCCTATTGGGTTGTTGTCAATCTTTTTAGGAGTTAGAATTTCTTTTTCTTTTTTTTTTTTTTGTTTATATTTTTTTCTGGTACCAGGAATCGAACTCACAACCTTGCACTTGCCAGGCAGGTGCTGTGCCACTGAACTAAACCCCCAGCACCAAGTTAGTGTTTTTTTGTAATGTATTTTAAGTTTCTAAGCTAAAGAACCACCCTTTGAACCAATCGCTGCTCTTTAGGATTTGAGGTAAGTCCTGCCTTGCTCGTATTCTATGTAGTTTCCAAGTCACTCAGAAAATTAAATTAGCAAGTTGTCAGCAGTCGGGACTAGGTGACATGAATGTGTAGATACATTGGAAAGCAGTGACAAGGGTAATGGTAATAGGTCCTAACCCAGATCAGCCACTAGGAGATAAGTTTATGAAAAATTTTCTTTTTAGAAATAGTTCATATTTTAAGGTACATAAACTCCCTGTTCTTTCAGACTTATTCTACTGAAAACTCCAGTAATAACAATGATTTACCCTTCACAGATGTAGACATAATCATAAATTAACTCCTTAATCTCTAAACTAGATATTGTTAGTACAATAGAAGCCATATTTTAAATAGCTATCTGCATAGTATTAGTTAATAGATAATTTAACCAGCTCCCTAAAGTTTTTTTGCCTTAAGAACAGTATGTCTGTGACTATCCTTGTATAGGATTTCACACCTGGAAAAAGATCCTGTAAGAAATAGCTGCCAAAGGGCATGCATATTTTAAAATTTACTAACAGCCAAAGCCTTTACTTACTATGTGGTAGAAACTGCTCTTGTTTTTACTGACCTGCTAAAATTGCTCAGTGGAAGTTGTACTACATACCTTTCACATCAGTGAACTTTGTGTAGTGCTTATTTCCTTATCAAAATATAGTAATTGTTTTCAAACTTGTCTTTGTTTTGATGTATTAAAAATGGCTTCTATTATAAGCTTAGTGTTTTACATTTAGCCATTTGTGTTTTCTTCTCTGTGGTCTTTTGTGTTACTGGTCTTTTTATTAATAGTTTGGGGGCCTTATATATTAAGGAAAATGACCCTTTGAGATGTAATATTTTTCTTAGTTTTCTTTGGCTTTACAGCACTGTGCAGATACCTCAATTTTAGGTAGGTAAATGTATCAGTTCTTTAATGGCTTTGTGAGACCTTCCCAACTTAAAGGTTTTAAAAACAATTATTGGTTTCTTTAAAGTTTTTAATTGAATATATGATCTTCCTGGAATTTATTTTGGTGCAAGGACTGAGGCAAAAACTCAGATTTCCCAGTGTTAGTTACTATTAATTTATAAAAGCAGGGCACTAGGTCAGAATATTCTAAGATTCTATATACATGAAAGCACTCACTGCGGACTTGTTCTGTTGAGGTCACTGCTTTTAAAAAATATTTGGCCTTTATGAACTGTAAATAGTAAATCATAAATACATCTTAGAGTACTATAAATATAGCATTACCTTACATGTACTACTAAGATATGTCCCTAAAAATGTTCTATAAACCACTAATTTTATTTCCTGGAGAATTGCTGTTGTGTCATTGCCTAGTATCTAGTCCTAAAATGAAACTTAGTACCTCTAGAATCAGCCGTTTTTGGATTAGTTCTCCATGAAATTCCTAAGTAAAGATGATGACCTTTTTAGAGGAAGGTGGGATATTTACTGACAGGAAGTGAAGACCAATAGAGGCCAGACAAAACCACTGAGTGTGGTGAAATAAGCATACAAGAAAGTTTGGAGTGCAGTGAAAATTTTATTTTTCCATACTGCTGTAGCCTGGGATAGAAAAAGTTCTCTGTATACAGGACTTGTAAGCATATACATGGGACAAAGGAGAGCCTCCATTTAGCTCAGTTCTTTGGATAGAGATACACAGTATTTCTGGGTCTGAGTGTCAATTTCCCAAATTTTCAAGTGGAGCCAAAAGTCTAGATTTGAAAAAATGTGAAGTCTGCATTTTAAGTAATGGCAATGAATTCAAATTTGGGGGTCAAAATATGTCTCTAGGTAACATTCACCAGTTAGGTCCTTCTATAAATATTGTTCTTAATTTTGTATGCTGCAGGGAAGGTAAAAATAGTCACTTTTGAGGTTTCAGTGGCCCTTCACTGTACTCCTGGACCTTATCTGTTAGTGGACCACATCCATAGCATACTGTCTTAGGAACACAGACTTGCACATTAAGAGGGCAGCAAAATAAGCACTTAGGTCATCAAATTTTAGAACTGGAAATGGCATCATCTGGCCTGGGCTCTTCACTGAAATACAACAATTTGGGAAATGTCCTAGGTCACGTAAGAGAGTAAAGTGAACCACTACAATTTATCTATACATGCTTTGACTTTCCAAAAGATTAGATAGATTACAAAGAAAAACATTACAATATAAATACGGAAAAGATTATGAAAGAAGAGATAGCTTGCTTAGACTTGAGAATCACTTTGAAAAGAGCTCTTTCTTACTGGCTTAGTAACATCAGACAAGTCATGTTAACTTCTCAGTTTCTTCATCAGTAAAATTAGATTTTTAAAAAGCAGGTAATTAAAACAATAGCAAGAAATAATGCTCAGTAAATAGCTAAAAGTATATGTGCCTGTGTGTGTGTGTGTATACAGATGCTATAAAAGTATTAGATTCAATTCTGAGGTTCTTGACAAAGTGTATACAAAAAATACACAGAAAACATGTTCTTTAGGGAGTTTTCCCTAGCACCAAATAGGAGTATCTGTCATGGGATCTTGGGATATCAAGTACAGGACTTTGGTCTTCAACCCCAATAAATTTGTGAATGTGGACAAGTTCTATTGTTTAAATAAGCAACATACTGTGTAGTTTTTATATTTATAAAAAGTTCTTTAGGAATTGCCTTTTTTACTTACATGTAGTATTAAGATTTACTGATAACTGTTCATTTGTGTTCATCACTCACATTTCATTGTGTGATTATATCACAGTTCATCCATTCCCCTGTTGATGGGCATTTAGATTGTTCTTGGGTTTTTTGCTATTGCAAATGACAGTGCTATAAAAATTCTGGGTAGCTTTCCTGATAGTCAAGTGAGCACACCCTACTAACCTGCCTCTGAAATTCCAGCATCTCAACAGTCTCAAGCTCCCACTTTGTTTATTTAGCTCAGCAATGTCCACATTTTGTCACCAATTGTTGCAACATGGTTAAGAAAGTTCTCCTGAGTAAACAGACATGGTGAAGGGGTTTACCTTGTCTGTTTCCCTTCTTATAGTGCAGTCTGCTGTGCCTGTTACCTAATTCCTGAACACAGTTGCCCCATCTAGTCTGTCCAGTTTTTTTTGACAGCAGCATAACCCCAATACGTTACTGTAATACCCATTTTTCTGCCAAAAGTTTTAGATCTTACATACCCATATTTAAGTCCAAATGAAATTTCACTTAAAGATATGTTAGACACCTTCATGATGGCACATAGTCCTATCCAAGAGGTGAATCAGATCACTGAAAACTACATTGTACACTGGCATGTAATTCTGCGCAAGAGCTGAATTAAACCACTGAAAACTATATTCTACGTGTTTTGTGAAGGGCATGAGGTAGAAGTTTATCTTGTGGTAATCATTTCACCTCATTTAACTTCTGAGCTTCATTCCTTCACTTATAGGGATAATGATAACTGATATATGAAACACATGCAAACAAACAGCGTTTATAGAGGCTTGAAGTGTAGCCGACTTATTCTTCTGATTAAATACAGATTTTAAGACTTTGAAACCAGATAGTAATAGTTAACATTTATATTACCTTGACTGTGTGCCAGGAACTTTATGTAAGCACTTTATGTATGTTAACTCATTTAATCCTAATAATAACCCTATAAAATAGGCACTTTTATTTCCCCCACTTCACTATTAAGCAAACTGGGAAAGAGGTTAAATAACTCATCCAAGGTCATATGGGACCTTGCAGTGAAACAGGAATTTGATAGTCAGAATTTGGAGTCCACATTATTCTAGCGCTTCAGATGAGCAAACTAACTATTCCATTATAAAAATTAAGACTTGTACCTCTGCTCAGATATAGGCCCTCCAGGTCTCATTCACTCAGAAAATTAAAATATATCCACCTAAATTGTGAGCATTTCAAAAGTCTTACAAATGAGGACTGCAAAGCAATTATCAAATCTAAGAAATAGTCCTTCCTTTCATCTCTCAATTCTAGGAACTATAGTCCCCAGAACCATTCAAACTTTTGTCCATTTTCTTAATATAGATTGTTTCTAATGGGGGCCAGGAATATAGCTCAGTGGTGTAAGTGCCTGCCTGGCAAGTGC